CCTCACATAAATTAAATTTATCTAAAATCTAACCTAACTTTTAGCATTGCGTTGTGATTTATAAGAACCGGATTAGCCTCGTGTTGAACTGGGGATGATCATGAGTAATAATTAAATAAAACATACAGTTGTTATCCAATGTATATATCTTAAATTTTATTAAGTTTTTTAAGTGGAAAAGTAAACAAAATTATCAAACAAAGTGTACCAAGAATAATTAAGAATAAATGTCCTCTGGGATTTATTGAATAATTAAGTGAATTTGCTACACAGTACAAGTAATACCATAATTAATTTACCTCTTAGCACAGCCAACGTACATTACGCGGATAGACTGGAATTTTCTCGAAACATACCTGGAAAACCTGGAAAAGTCAGGGAATTTCATTCTCTGTTTGAGTGGCAACCCTATTAAAATTTAAAGCAACAACAATGTATGGATTCTTTTTCTGCATTTCTCATAATAATTTTGAGAAAGGTGGGCACCAGTAAACCTTCATAAGAAGGAACGGAAACCTTCATAAGAGGGCACCAGTAAAATTGTTTGAACCCTCATGAAGATTTTTAGTCTTTTTAAATAGTAGCCATCTTGCATAAAAGATGCAGATACCTATATGATGAGACTCTGATAAAAAGACTGTTTATGCGGCTAGAAAAAATAAAATCTTAGTCATAGACTAATTTGATTTATTTGATTTGGGCAAAGTATACTAGGGTTATATATCTAACGGGAGGGATGTCTTCATGAGGGACCTTATAAGAGAACCTGGATTGTATCCATGTTACACATGGGAAAAACAGTAGAAAAGCCCATTCAGCTAGCTTGTTCTCCTGGAATCCAACTCTCAAACTACCAGTGCTTAGCAACTTTATTGATCAGTTGCTGGTGGGCTTCTCATTCATAAAAATGTATAATATAAAGTACCATTAGAAACCTGTTTTATTGTTATTATGCTTAAAGATGTGAATGTCACCAACATTTCTCGCAAAATCGTAATTATGAACTAATTATTTTTAATGTCTCATTGTTACACTTCTAAATAGTTTGCTGTAATGAGTCTTATTACTCTAATTCCCAGTCCAGCCCTCAGCTGGACTGGGAAATTAGAGTAATAAGATTCATCGATAATAATAAAGGAAAAGAGCTGTGTTTATTTTTTTTAAATCGATTAGTATGTCAATAAGAGATAGATTAAATTTGAATAAAAACTTCAGTATTTTATACTTTGTAGAATGGTGGTAGATTGAGCTTAGAAGATAAAAATATTCTATTTTGGGCAATGACAACAGATTTTTTTTAAATTCTTGAATTTGGTGATTAAATTTAAAAGACAAATATCTTACACTTTGCCATGTAGCAATGCCTCTTTTAAATCGCTTAGTTTTCTGGTTAAATTTGAAATTTAATGTCTTACTCTTTGCTATGTGGCAATGCATTCCTTTTAAATCACAAAATTTGTTAATCATAATTTAATTAAGTCCACATAAAACATAAAATGAATAAAAAAAAGGAATTTGAATTTCAAAATTATAGCATTGAGGTGCATAAGTTCAAGTGAAAGATTATGTGTTTCGAAATGTAATGGCTTTAGCTGCGAACATTTTTCCACGGTATGAGAGATATGCGAGGTGACACGCACACACACACACACACACACACACACACACACACAAAAAAAAAAAAAAAAAAAAAAAAAAAAAAAAAAAAACAACTAGACTGGTCCAATAAATTATTGTACTTATAGAATCAGTTCTCCGTGACGTTATCACCTTCAAAGTAGTCCCTTTCAGCATTCATACACTTCTGCATTTGGTGTTAACAGTTCTGGAGCAAGGTTTTTGGAAGGCCCTTCAGGAGATTCTCCATTTTTGCCTAAACCTCTTCAAGTGAGGTAAAATGGCTTCCCTATAACCAAGATTTAACTTCAGGAAATAAAAAAAAAGTTGCAGGAAGCCAAATCAGGTCAATAAGGAGGATACCCCTTCAGAGTAATGTTTTTGCTGGTCAGAAACTGCTTGACAGAAAGGGCTGTATGAGTGGGTGCATTGTCCTTATATAACAACCATCCATCACTCCACAACAGCGGCCTTTTTTCCTTAATTTCTTCACCAAGTCTTTTTAGTACTTTAGTGTAGTAGTGTTAATTAAGAGTTTGACCACTGGGAACTTACTCAATCATTACAATTCCACTAATGTTGAGAAGACAATTAACATTGCCTTGAGTTTTGATTTTGACATGTGTAGTCCCTTCCCCCTGAAAACTTCTTATGCCACTCAAACTCGTGTACACAAGACCAAATTTCATCTCTATAAGCCTCGATTAACAATTGAAATGTCTCCATAGCTGATTTCTTAAGTTTCACAAGAAACTTCATGTTGATTCGCTGTTCGTTTTTATATTGGACATTTTTTTTTCTGGCAGAATGCAGTTGCACATGTTCACTCAATGATGCAGTACTCCCAACTGGTGTGATCGGTTAAGTCAAAACTGGCCACATGGATAGAGGAAGTGTGTGGCATGATGTCTTCAAAACAGCTGTTACCAATTCCAGTCTATTCTTTTTAAAAGCTATGCATTCAGTCCCCCCTTTTTTTTGTCATACCTCATACATACAGATTCTTTATTATGTATTAATAGAGATGGAAAATAAGTGAAAACTCTTAAACCTGCTTGAACTGTGATTATAGTTTTATCTTTGGATGATATTATTTTTTTATTAAATGGAAACAGTAATATTGAAAAAAAGCCTTATGTAATTTATATTGTAATTTAGTTTTTAATGAAATTTGTAAATAATTAAGTGATAGCATGTTTTTATTGAAATTTAAGAAATAAAGGCAAGAAAGTCATAAATTTTGCTTGAAACAAAAAGCAGAATTTTTAATTATATTTATCAAAGAAAAATGGGTAAGTTTGCATTTTAATAATAATTTTGTTTGAAATCGATTAGAGTAATTATGGAGTCAAACTTATGAAACTGCAATGTTAGATTTTGCTGGTCAGTGCTAATTATACACTGGTGTGCAAAAATTAAGGACGAGACTTTTTTTCAATATAACTTTGTACAAAAGCTTTCCAAATCAACACATTTAATACCGTAAGATCCTCAATACGTAAGGACATGAGTAATGTAAGCAACACTTACTAAAAGAGAAATCAGAGGGATAAAAAGAAACTTTATTGAAAAAGTAGCATGGAGCGAAATGCGACTGAAGGCCGAAACATCCCTGTGATGGGTGTCCAGCAAGAAACATCTGTTCTTGAATAGGGGATATGATCTCCCCTGACTGCCTAGGCAGGTTTCACAGTATCTGCCCATGCTGAGAATGAGGGTGTCAATGAGTTGTTGAGGCATTGCTGCCCATTCGTCTTGCAGTGCCAATCGAAGCTCCGGAATCGTTACTGGTGGTAAGGTACGAGCTGCCAAGCATCTGCCTAGAAAATCCCATACATGCTCGATGGGGTTGAGATCCGGAGATCGTGCCAGCCAATCTATACGTTCAATATCCTCACTCTCTAAGAGCTGTTCGGCAACTACTGTGCAATGACATGGTGCATTGTCGTCCATGAAAAGGAACTGCGGACCCATAGCGCCTCTAAAAAGACGCACATATGGAAAAAGAATCTTGTTACAATAACGGGTCCTGTTGGCTGAACCTGCTTCGAAGATGTGAAGGTCTGTACGACTACCAAGCATGATGCCTCCCCAAACGAGAACACCGCCACCTCTATACATGTCTCTTTCAATGATGTTCGAGGGATGATTGTGGCTTCCCCGCTCTCTCCAGATGAGTATGCGATTAGAATCGCTACTCAGACTGAATCTGCTCTCATCTGTAAAGAGTACTCGTCCCCATTCATTGTCTCTCCAATTCCGGTGTGCCCGGCACCACAGAGAACGCCTTCTCCGATGGGCAGGCGTTAGAGGTACACACCATACAGGGCGTCGAGCAAACAGATAACCACCGTGCAGTCTTCTGGCCACGGTGAAAAGCCATACTGGTCGTCCATTTGCCTGTGTCGTGTGTCTAGCGATTTCTCCCGCTGTCTGCCGCCTGTTTCTTCTCGCCTGTAAGGCAATATACCGGTCATCTGCGGGCGTGGTTCCTCGTGGAGGACCACTACTAAACCCCCGGATAGCTGTTGCTGTAGTTTGAAATTGTCTCCAAAGTCGTGAAACGATGCTGTGAGCAATTCCGAACTCTGCAGCAACACTTGTCACACTGTGGCCTTCCTCCAACTTCCCAATGATTTGACCTCTGGTAAAAGCATCCAGATGTCGTCTAACAGATTGATTATTCGCCATTTCTCGCTGAGGCAGTAACTCGGTGTGATTTTAACTGCTATACGGCGTGCCAGAAATACTGATCTTACACCGATAACATGCTTTATACTACTCAGACACTCCCCCATTACATCTACCTGCATATCTGCGCATGTGCTGCCGTACATCACCTTACTTAATCTCCTGATTGGTCTTTCTGTCCGCTCTGCCTCTTCGTTTAGCTGATATGCTAATTTTTCGACTTCGTCCTTAATTTTTGCACACCAGTGTATTGTATGAAATTAAGTAACATATTGTGTAGCCAGTTCAAACACTGAATTCAACTTCTGAAAATTTTACTATGCTTTTTGCTGTTTTGGTCTCAAGCTGCTGAAGTTTAATGTTGTATTTTGTTTTTCAGAGAATATTTTGCATTTTGAAAATTAATAATATGTAAATAAGTGTTGCAAATATTTGTTCCTTGTAGGTACTCTGCATCTCACATTTAAATTTATTTTTAGCTTTTGTAATATTTTATTTTAGTTTTGAATTCTATATTTTTATTATATTTAGACTTTTATTATATTATTAGACTTTTATTATAGACTTTTATTATTATTATATATTTTACATTAACTAGGGTTGTTTTATAATTTCACATTTGTAAAATTTACTTTTAATTTAGATCGCTATATGCATTCATATATATTTTTTTAATTTTCTGTTCTTTGCAGACACAAGAAGTTAATCAAGGAGATAAGCGCGATCATGACTTTTCCTGTATGTATGACATTTTGTTATGGCCATTTGAGAGCAGTTTCCTAGTTCCTGCTGCTCAGGTAGTAATTCTATATTTATATGTTTTTGAAAGTTCTTTTTACTTCCTTGTATGAAGTAAAAAGGAAGTATTGTAATCGCGAAAAGTTTCAAGCATCATATTTCAACGCAAATATCCATTTTCACTGCTATCGAATGCAATTTAACAATGTTTTTCCTTGACATCTGTTCATAAGGACAGAATAAAGGACTCTTTCCCCCCAAAAAAATTGTAAAACTAATTTTAAATGAATTCTGAAGAGAATTTTTCGTGGAATTTTGTTATGGCCATTTGAGAGTTTCCTAGTTCCTGCTGCTCAGGTAGTAATTCTATATTTATATGTTTCTCTGAAATAATCTTATATTATTCTGTTTTTCTGTTTCTATTAAATGAATTCTGAAGAGAATTTTTCATGGCGTCTGTGCGTATGTACATACGTATGTATCTTGCATAACTCAAAAACGAGTAGCCTCAGAACATTGAAATTTTGTATATAGGACTGCTATAACATGTAGATGTGCTCCTCGTATTTTGGTTGCAATCGGTGACACCAAAAGTATATAAATATATGTATATATATATATATCCATTGTATTACTCGGCTCGGTAATCTCAGTTTCTTTATTCTTATATGTTTGCAAATTGTGCATTTTTTGTTTTAAAAATAATTGAATTATGCTGTTCTTATCTTCCGGTTAAGGTTTTTATGCCTGTAGTAATTCTGTATGCAATAATTTTAGAATTATCAACAATTTAAAAGTTGTTTTTAAGTGCCGCTAAGCCTTATAATTTTTGCCATGTCGGCAGACTGTTTACATTTGAAACAACAGAATAGTAGATTTGTTGCCAATCTAGAGAAAGTAAGCTCCGCAATAACAAAGATAATGCCTTCTTTTATTATTGCAAATTAAATCATGCTTAATCCATTCTGGAATTTATTCGAGCCGATAAGTGTTTAAGATTTACTTCATAATTTTCAATACAGACATTTTGAGTTTTTATGTATTTTTGCCTTGCCAGGAAGTGAGAACTGAATTAATTGAATGAGAAATACTAAATCGTCTGTGAAAAACAGTTTTTGTTGTTGTTCTTTGCATAATTTCTTTTATATATTGCTTTAAATTTATTATAGTATTTGAATAGAACATGTGGCAACGGTTAGATAAATTCTTAAGATGATATACATTTTGTGCATTCTGAGTTAAAAAATGATTGAAATGTAGCGTTGTTAAGTGAACCTAGAGCCAGAGTGTCGATATGATAAACAAATATAGTGAATTTTAAAGAGTGTATTTATTCTATTGTGGTTTATGCGCTATTGACGAAGTATATTTAATTCAATCCAATAAGTTTAAATGAAATGCAAGAAAACATGTGTATAATTTAGTGTTCCCTACAAGGAAGTCATGTGGTGCACACATCAGATTTTTTTTTTTTTTTTTTAAATTCCATTATGAAGCATGCATGCAAGATATTGACAACACATGGTCATGGATCTATCCTATCACATTGATTCTTTTCATGATTCTCTACAGTGGAGGAAACCTTTTAACAGAACTCGTTAGGTCTTTAATACTGTATGCTTTGAGAAGTATTGCTTGATCATCTACACCTGAGATGTTTAACTTGTTGCTTTCAATTTCTCTTAATGTATTTATGTCATATAACTGAAAAATAAGTGAAAAGTTAAGCATGTAAATTGCTAAATTTGAATGGGAAAGCAAACTGGATAGATATGATTGCTTGTTTACCTTAGTCACACTGAAACTCCATCTGGACAAAGTCATGTATACGAAAAAAATATATGGTACTGTTTGCCATTTCAATGAAGATTGAGAATGGATTTCAGAAAACCCAAGCTGAATTTTAGTATATTTATATTCAATATATCAGGAAGTATATTTATATTCAGTATGTCAGGATTTCTGTAAATTTCTGTACAGTATGTGTTTTAGTATGCCACTGTTCTCAATTGATATCAAATTATTCCCGTGAGCCTATTAACGGAATGCAAACTACATAGCATAAAAAGAATTTGTTTAATTGATTTTTTTAATTGTATCAACTTTTCTCCAAGAAAAATTTTGAATGTTTCATAAACATTTCTTGTTCAAGGCATTTGTTTTTTAAAAAATATGTGTATTTATAAACAACTTTTTCTCAATGTGAAATACAAAGTATGTTAAAGTAGAATTTCAAAGAAAACTTCAGAAAACATCTCTAAGTATGTGCTTGTTGTTATAACTTTAATCAGATTAAATATAGGTGTATTGTATATAATATGTAGGAAACATTAATCACATTAAAAATGTTATGTTTGTATACTTTGTAATAAATTTCTTTTTCATCACAACATAAATATAATTTTGTCAGATGAATTAGTAAGTTAGGTTATATTGTTAATTAATATATTCTGTACTTGGTTTTTGACAAACTTTAGCAAAGCATATGATCTTTGGCATGTCTTTGTTGGGCTATGCAGCCTAGAAGCTCTGAAACATTTTGCACTTATAATCTAATCATGACATTATTGAATAATGAAAGTTGTGCTTTATTTCAGCATGATAGTGTCTTTTGGGGGGAGGGCGATAATTATCATTCACACGTAGCTCCAGGAATTCTCTGAGTTCTGACTTTCATCCACTAAACTCAAAAAAAATTTGGACCTTAAGTTTTTCTGAATAATTGACGGTTTTAAGATTAATGCCTGAGATTTAGAGATCTGATATATCAATGAATCTTAGACATCTAGTTTGGATTAATGGAAGTATCAAGTCCATGCTATTATTCAAATCCTGACACTGTTATTCAGGTTGTGTTATTATTCAAGTCCTAATAAGACTGGATGATTGAGATGTGGATAATGTTTCATCAAATGCGACTTTTCATGATCTTGTATATCCTGTAGTCATCCTCAAACTCTCGTTGTGTATGTAGATGAGAAATACTCTAACTGGAAAGTGACTTGATAGCTTAGCTATTCATTATAGTTTTCTATATTAACCCCTTAACTGCCGCGGACGTATATATACGCCCTGCTCAGCCGATGCATTAGCTGCCCCAGGCGTATATATGCGCCCTTCCAAACTACTATCATTTGCTTTGAGCTGCTACCTGGAAAATTATTCGCAAAGCTTTGGAATGCAACACCACAATGACCTTGACAAAGTATGCGAAGGAGGATACTATTTCAGAGAAGTGTGGGGAGAAATCGGAGAGAGGGGTGTGTCTAAAGCGGTGAAAGTAATGACTGTGCGGTATTGGCTGCTGTTGTTTGCATAAAACTTTTTTTTTTATTCTGTGTCCTTCATTTTCATTTATTTTTTGTAGTAGGTTCCAGGAATAAAGAAAGATATAATGGATGTTTCAAACCCATTTATCTCTTTTGAATTATTTTTTGATGAACTGCTCGTGCTTCATATTGTTACTGAAACTAACCGTTTTGTAGACGAGTATATGAAGCAACACCTTGCAAACAAAAAATCAAGAACAAAATCGTGGCATTCAACCAGTTCAGAAGAAATATGTTTTTTTAGGCATACTTGATTTCCCAAGGTATAACACTGAAACCTGATATTTCACTTTACTGGTCTAAAAATGAACTGATCGAAACTCCATTTTAGGGACCTTTTTTATTATAAAACCCTCATTTGTATTATACTTACATCTTTTTATTATACCTTTACTCAAAACATTAAATTTTGTGCATTCATTTTTTTTCTTTTTATTCTTTATTTTGTGAAAGTAAACAGTTTTTAGAAAGTAAAACTTCACTTATTTTCCCCCTAATACATCACATAACTATGCGCATCTTTATGAAAAACTGCGGCACTAGGAAATGAATCTTGTACGTTTTCCGCGGCAGTTAAGGGGTTAAGAAACTTTGTTATACTAGTATTCTTTTAGGCTAAATACCCCTATGTTATCAGATGTGTATTTAGAGAACTAAATAGTTGCTGACTGTTTTAATGTTTTTCTATTCACATTGAAAAAAATTAAACAAATTGAAAATTATAATCACTAATTTCTCTACCATGTATTTAAAGTAACTGTCAGAAAGTCTGAAAACTGTTGTAGTTCTGAAGAAATATTGCGAAATTTATCATTTATGGTATGCCATATTAATATTTAAAGAGTATCTTTCAGATAAGGAATATTAAATTGTATTTACATGTAATTTAAAATTTTATCAAATTTAAAACGTTGTTAATTTCAGTTTTTGGATTTGTGCAATTTTACATGTTTTAGGTTGCTACAAGTTCAGCTTTTAAACTGTGGAAAAATTTGTTTAAAGCATTTATCCGTTGTTCTTCACTCGTTGACACTACTTTACCAAATGAAGCATGTGAAATATTTTGTGTGAGACTAAAAAATATGCTTAAGCCTGAATTGTTGCAGGTAAGAATTCTTTATATTCATTTCAGCAGAAAATTCCATTTGCTGAGTATTCATTTAGATAGAAAAATATGAATATCAAATATAGTAGATTTTATTTTCTTCCATGTTCTGTATATATATATATATATATAGTATTTTCTGTATATTTTATGATAGAGAGTTCAGAACAAAGCTATCTGTTGTCTCAAATTTTCAAATTACAGTCAAAAGTCGTTAATCCGGACTCGTTGGGACTTCGGCGATTCCGGATTATCGATTTTTCCGGATTATAGATCATCAGTTTAAATCTGGTAAGATGGCATGCAGAAATTACAAAATTAAAAATATGAAACCATAATTTATGAAATAAAGAACAATTATGATCTAAATGGTATCAAAATTTACAAAAAGAAAAAGCTTAATATTTATTTGTTTACTTTATTAAACATTTCCTTCAATGTAAGTTGCTTCGTTTCATGTGATAATACTTTCTCTTTAATTCTATTAAACAGACATAATTTCTTGTTTAGTTACAAAGTTCTGCTGTTCAAGTCCTATAATTGCTGTGTTGAGAATACCGACTAATTTGTCAATCAAAATGTTTTCGTTTTCAATAACCTTTGTGTCACTTTCTTCACTTATTATTAATTATAATGAATGATGATTATTAATTATAGTGATTATTAATTATAGTGAATTATAATGACGAGGAACTTGATTTAAATCATAAATCATATCAAAGACGGAGTATATCGAGATGAAATACTACACTTAGTACGGAATTATAAACCAAATAAAATAAAAACATCTGCTCTGAAGATAAGGATAGTGCTGACAGATCAACTTCCAATCCGCAGTGTGAAATTGATAAACAGATTTCGGATTTCAAAACATACTTTCGCTTTGTAGATACAAATTACATATTAGTAAATATATATCGGAAATTCTATTTGACATAATCTTTCTAATCTATCATAATCTAATAATGACATTTCTGCCCCCCCCCTCTGCCGCAGAGCAGCGTGGAATTGATAAACAGATTTCGGATTTCAAAACATAAATTGATAAACAGATTTCGGATTTCAAAACATACTTTCGCTTTGTAGTAAATATATATCGGAAATTCTATTTGACATAATCGAAAGTTCAAGCTTACTTTTATAAAATTGCTCTAACAGTCTGCAAAAAAAAATAAGCCGGATCCAATTTGAAGATTAAACGTGCATGCGCACAAACATATTCGCAGCTGTAAGGGTCTTATGCGCTCTCGTAAACGCCTGTGCGCATGCGTGAACGCGACGCATGCGCAGAAAGTTTGTAGCTTTGAGGTCCGGATTATGGGTGTCCGAATTAACGACTTTTGACTGTATATATAATGTAGATAATTAACTGAAACTTATATTGTCTTTATTGCATTTGCCATATTCTCCTCAAAAATAAGGTGGCACTGGAAGTATTAATTCATAAGCATTTACATCACTGATTAAAATACTAATGTGTATGCAAAAATTCCAATGCATATTTTAGTTCAAGATCTGTTTTAGATGAAATTATTTACTCTATCAGAGTTCACTAGAAAAATATATAAGCAAATACTTACATTTTCAGGTAGAGCTACCTTCTACAAGGAGGGATGCTTTCATAGAGAATTTTCTGTTAAAAAACTGAGCTATATTTGCTTTATTTATGAGAAAACTGCAAATAGCTACTTACTTTAGTTACTCCCATTGTCAATTAGATTTGTTTTGAATCAATTATTTTGTATTAGCAAATCTCCAAAATTATCAATAATTCAAGTTAATATTTTGCATTTTTAAAGTTTAGAACACAGCCAAGAAAGTAAACTTGTATCATTGTGATTACACAGTAAATTTTGTAAAATTCTGCTTTGTGTGATTTTATAATTTGATCATACTTTTGAAAAGGATTCTGTTATTGACACATTGCCAAAACTTTCAAAAAGGATTTTTAAATCTGTGATGGATAAGAATGTCTGAAATATCTAAAAATTTAAAATTTATTTGAAATATCTAAAAATTAAAATTTAATTTATATTTCCCTCCAGAGAATAAAATCTTTTACTTGTTCATTTCCAGATGGGTTAGTATTAAAACTTTGAGCATTATGCCACTGACTTTTATAAATGCTACATTTTTGCTCAAAAGGAGCATGTCTGTTGTTTTGTTTATACTGATTATTTAAGAATAATTAGAAATTTAATTAACTTTCAAATATTTTGAAAATATCCAGAAATTTAACACATGATTTTTTTGTGCATGAGGGTTTTGACCAAATACGAAAAGTAAATCGATACGTGTTTTCTATTTTAAAAATGCAGATTAGTTTTATTTATTATTTTTTTAATATATATGATATAAAAACAGTCGTAGGCATAAAACAATTATTAATTTAAGACACAATAACACGCCGAATAAATACTAATTCAGAAGTCAAACAACAAAACTCAGCGTTAATTTACAAAATTTTCACAGGACTAGTTTCGATGGTTTTACCGAACCATTATCTTCAGCTGCAAAACCGCAAATGAACAAGATAGGAAATAATGTTTAGATAAGATAAGAAAGCCTGGACAAGAATAAGCAAGTGGCGCCATCTGTTGGCGAAACCAGAACTAAAACATAATTTCTCTAAAAGCCGAAGGCAAATTTGGATTGGAATTAGGATCGTTAACTAGAACAGAAAGATTTTTATGAATGTGAAATGCCTCTAGAAAATCCAGTTCTCCAATGGAAGATGTTTTTTGAATAATTTTGGCAGCAGAAAATTTGAAAGTGTGATTTTCGGACCAACAATGTTGAGCAACAGAAGACTTCTGTGTTTCCTTTTTCTAACATATGCCTCATGTTCTTTGACGCGAAATTTTAAGGCTCTCTTAGTTTGGCCAATGTAAATTAAACCACACTGGCAAGGAATCCTATAAATACCCCAGGAATTCATATCCGGAATGGGGTCCTTGAGTATAGAAGTTGGAATTTTATTGATAGGAGAATAAACAACCCGAAAGTTAAATTTCTGCAAAATATGTGCAACTTTATAGCTAATTGATGGAAAGAAGGGAATGACAACAGAATTTTTATAATCTCCTAAAATAAGAGTGTGGCTTTTAGTGTGTTGAGATGTGTGTTTGTAGTTCTTTTTAACACATTCATAGCCAGTTTTTATACATGCTGTCCAATTATTAGTTTGTTTATATTAAAAGGTGTAGCAAGTGTAAAAAACAAGTCATTCACTCTTTTAATAGGAGCCCGAATTTCTGAATTCTTTCCGTATTGCCGATTTTTGTGGATTTGTCTGCTGACAGAAATACAGTACTCGCCACTTTTTTAAATCACTTCTATTAAAGATGTATTGAGTTTAATAAATGATGATTTGTGTATTGCAAATTGTAAACTTTTCAAGTAAAATAATAACAACTAAAACAATATTTAACTGACAACTAAAATGATAGTTAAAAATTAAACGCTTTACACAATTTTGGAAATTCATTTTAAAATTTCTTATCAAAATATTTTTATAATTACATGCTTGGCGACATTTTGTCTGTAAAAAGCAACTAGTCCGTCTGTGTTTGTTTCATATATTTCAATAAAAGTTTTTAAATTGTGTTCTCAATTTCATAAAATTGCTGATAGTATTTTTGATCAGTACCTTTCAGTTCAAGAATTCTTTTTAGAATTTTCAGTACTTTTTTAGGTTCATGTCATCACTTTTTTTTCTGGATCACTTTTGCTGTCAGTTTTTGTAGTTCTTTTTAACACATTCATAGCCAGTTTTTATACATGCTGTCTCCATGCTGCTATGAATTGACATTTATTCCAAAAATGAACATTCATAACTTCCCTCACTAATGTCTGAAATATTATCCATAATTTGCAATTTCTTTGAGGCTTCTTATACATAAAAGCCACATTTTCAGAAACAGTTTTTAAGATATTAACCCCTCTACATTAATACCCATATGCATGGCCTCTAGTATAGATCTTGACTTTTTTATCTCCTTTGAAGAGCTTGCATTTTCATACAACTCAATTCTTTTTGTCATTTTCTGAACATCTTTTCTGTGATGACATTTAAAAGCTTTTATAATACCCAGAAATTAAAGGTTTAATGTTAGAAGTTGTATTTGCAGGAAGCGATGCTAATGTTTTTCAGTAGTAGTTCAGAGGCGGCGTGTATGTTGCACAATTATCTAATTAGTAAAGTTGTTTTGGTTTCGTTTCGCATTTTGTGTCTGTTCACTTTTCACATTGTTGCCACCAAATATTCGAGCCCTGCATTATATTTAAAGAAATTAAAAAATGAAGAATCTGCATGAATGTGTTTCTCGCACTGAAAAAATAATGGTACGTAGAGACCTCAAATTTTGAATAACGTAGTCCTCCATTCAAATATGGTCATCTGGAAGCACGAATTTGGAATCTGTTTTATTATCTATTTCATATTTTGTCAAACATTAAAGAATTTTTGAATAACAAACTCGCTGGTTTCAAAGCGAGCAATGGCTACACTGAAGGAGGGGCATTTTTATTTCCAGCACGCGAGATTGTGTATCGGAAATTCTAAAGATATACTCTTTTAAATATTTTGTGATACTGCTGTTGAATTGAATGTTACAGTTTAAGTGCGAAGACCATGATATTTAACCCTTTGACGCGCGCGATATTATTTTTATAATTTTTTTAACTAAAAAGTCTAGAAATTCAATATTATGATCCTAGAGACAAATAATATATGAATTTAAAAAAATCTACTCTTGCTCATTGTTCTGTGGGTGGTGGTTGCACTGTGAAACCACCACGCATCTAGGACTTGAAACTTACCGAGGTAAGTAGGGAAAAAAAACTTACCTTTCTCCGTGCACGTTTCCAATAAATGACGAAATTTACGAATTTAAAACAAAATGCATGTAGGAATTGCATAATATATAATACATATATATATTTACATTATTTTACAAAGTAATATATATGTTACTTTGTAAAATAATGTCAGAAAAAATTAAAAAATAAACATTTATGTAATTTTTCTATAGCAGTGAAAGTACCTACATAATAAAGACGTTTGGCTACATGGATTAAAAAATCTCAGTACAATAAGGATAAAAAAAGACTCAGTGTTTTTTTTTAATTTCAAAGAACAAATATTTTTTGTGACATTGTTCAAAGCATGTTTTGTCTTTTTGGTACATGCGTGCCCACATTGCACATTTCGCCACATGTATCTTCTTCTATAAGGTTTCTTCCTTGTGCTAGAAAATGTACACTTATTGGATCTAAATTTCACTGGTATATGTCCAGCGTTATTTAGTTTCTTTTCATCTGACACATGAAATTTGTGGGTTTTTTATGTTAATGAGGAGGGGCTTAGTCTTTTTGGCTTTGATACCGATCATTCGTTTCCCATTCATACTTATTTTATTCGTATTTCGTCCCAAAATTTTCAGAAAATATTTTTAATTTAAATAAAACTTTATGCGATTTCTATTTTTAATTACAGCAATGTACATTAAATTTAAACCACAGGAAAGAATTTATAAAATCACAATACTAGCTTGGTGAGCAAGTGTGTTGAAGTTGCTGGAAAAGAAAGACCTTTTTACTGGGCAGGTGCATGTATTGTTTAGTAATAAAATAACTCTGTGATTTAAAAAGCCCTTATCTATATCCAGGTAAAAATAAACATTCCTATTCGAGAAGCAAGCAAACACCATTGTGAAGAGCAGCAAGGCGCAACCATTGTGGCACAATGCTCTAGTGCGGCAGTGGTCGTGCCCTGAAACCATAAAGCAAATGCCATACATATAGAGCGTTGTTTTTATATATGCAGTTTAATTATTGCTATTTTTTATTGTTTATGATAGAAATCATGATGTGCGATGAATAACTTTTGAAATTTAAAGTTTATATTAATAAAAGGAAGTTATTTTGTCTCATTGAAAACAAATTTTAAAAGGCATCCAATTTGAAGTACTAAGACCTAAAACATGTATGATTCTGAAGTCATTTTGTGTTATTTAGAGGTAAAAGATCAGTAATCAATTGATTTTCACTCAAAAATTTCGGAAGGAAGAGGAGAAAAAAATTCGAAAATTGGTGGTTTCAGGGGGCAACCACCGCGTGTCAAAGGGTTAATAACTAAAGGTAACACACAAAATGTTAAAAAACACCCCTTTAGGCATAATATAAAATCTGAAAGCTTTCATACTTTTTTTTAATTGATTTTATTGATTGAAATGGCAATTTTATATTTCATTTGGTTCCTGGAAATATGAATGCAATAAGCAGCTGAGTTAATAACCATTGACTTTAATAAGCGGCGAGTACTGTAGTTATTTTGCAATTTTCATTATAAAAATGTACAATGAAGTCTAAAAAATCACACAATGTTCCAGTAATGTTAAGTAAAACAACTAGTAGCAATTATCAACATCTTTGTTCTCTAAGTCAACAGTGCCTAACTTCTGGTCTGTTTCAATTCAGTTTAACAAGATATTGATGAAAAATTTAACTCTTACCTTTGTTGCTCAGAACTTCAACCATTCTTTCATCTGTGAAACTTAATGCATTGCTGAGATGTGACAACAGTGGCTTCAACTAACCACCTGAATTAATTTTCCTTGATTGCATGTATTCTTTTTAGAAAAATATTGAGAACATTTTATTTATGGGGACTATTACATTTTCACTGAATATTCTGGTAAAACTGTCTCAAAGCTTTCAATAGGCACAAATATTTTGTAGTGCCTGTGATTAGCTGTGGAATTAACACAGAAAAATATGTAAGCAAATACTTACATTTGAGGACTTTAAAAAAAAAAAAAAATCATTATCCTTAAATTTTATTTTGAATGCAGACAAAAGTAATGTATACAAGAAGTGAGTTTAAAAGTTTTGTAATTGACTTATATTTAAAGTAATGATTAGTTGTAAGGGCTTATAGGGATTCGTATGAACTGTGTGTTAAATTGTCACTAATTTATGATCCCTTTTCTTATACTTTTTTGTGTGTTTATTTGTTTATTCCAAGAAAAGTACATTTTACATGTCATAATCATACTTAAGTTACTTACACTTCCTGAGAATTAGGGTCTTATGTATATATTTCACACCTTAAGAGAGAATCATTTGGTTTTACTTACCCTTTTTATAGATTTGTTTATAAAATTGAATAGCTTCAAATCATATATCATCTATGCCGGGTGTTCTCAACCGGTGGTATGCAAAGAAGCAAAGTATTTTTAACTATTAAATTCAAAAATTAAAACCCCAACATCCTGGTTGAGTTTTTTCCTTAATACTTATAAATTCATGCGATCTGAACTTTGTTCAAGAGTGGTGGTGGTAGTAGTACTTTAGGTTTTCAGTTTTTGTTTAGATGGTAAACATTAGTCAAAAGGTTGAGAACCGCTGATCTATGCTGTTTTACAACATTTTTTTCTAGATTTTTTTTAACCATCTAATCCTTTTGTCAATTTTTTTATGCGGAAAAAGTGAAAATAATGTTTATTTAAGTTTTGTTCGGTTTTATATCCAGAAGGAATAAAATAATTATTTTAATATGTATTCCCATTTTTCTTAGGAAGCTGAATTTTATGAATCTGTGTGTTCATATATGCAAGAAGTCATTCAGTGCGTGGATTATGCATCAAGTGGAATTCTTAATGCTCATGGTAAGATTTAGTTGTACTTTTCCCACATTTATTTTACTTAATAAAAATTTAAACGGTGGTTTTGAATTTTTTTTAAACTCTTTTAATTTTCAATTTATTTTAATGGTTTCTGTTAGCAGTATGAGGCAGAAGCTAACTTTATTATTTATTCTTAAGAGCAGGAGTTAGAAGTACTTATTTTATAGAGTATAGCTAATCAAATGAAAATAAACTTTCATTCAAACAAATTTCTGCAAAACATGGGAGTCTGCTAAAAGTAATGCAAAAATTGCCCTAACTTTTTTATCAACCCTTTCAGGATGGGCTTCCCATATATGCATTCCCTAAGCATTCTATGTCCATTACTTTTGAAATGAACACAGTTTTAGGTTCCTGACCTTGAGTTTGATATATTCTGTCTGACTTTGGTATTTTACTCTTCAACTGTTGAGAGGGTGGGGGGGGAAGCAAAAGCGTAAACAGAGGTGGGCTCTTTCAATCTCCGCGTGCTAATATAAATATTCGCGTGTCTGATTTATATCCAATTCTTTTTTTAATTCTATGTTTTCCTCTACTATATATGGTCTTTAGGGTTACTAGACAGCCCAATCAGTTTTGCATTGACTTCAGGTATATTCCCGTTTTTTCTCTTTTTATTTCGGGAAGTCTTGCCTCTAGTCTATTATGGCGCAAAGGCGCTATTTATCAGAGGAAGAACCCTCGTATGGTTAATGAACCATTTACTAACGCAGATGAGAGTGATGATTCTTTTTCTAAAGATTTAAAAAGTGAGACTTCTCCGTGCTTCAAGATTTACCACACTCGGTCTTCATTTTAAATTTTGTTACATCTTACTGTAAATAGTCTTTATTGTGTTATTTTATTAATTTTAGATTGTATTGATGAAATTTATCAATTACAACTTTGGAATAATTTGAATAGTGCTTCCAAAAATTATTTTACAAGATAAGGAAATTTTTAAGTATATTTTCATGTAAAATAAAGAAAAAAAAAAGTTATTAAGTGTTAATTTTAACATATATAAGAGCTCAAGTAATAATCTAAAATGATACCAAAAATTACGAGGCTAGAAGTGTAACTTTTTTTTTTCTGATTTTTTTTTATAAAATTAGGCTTAGCGATGCAAAACCTCTATCCTGTACGGTGACTGCTTTCGATTCTCTTCCGTCCCACACGAGCGTCTTAAACAAAGGTGCGCCGTCGCAAAAAGGTTAACAGACATGGAGTCCAAATTCCGCATATTATAAGAGTTATTCTTCCTCTTTACAAGCATATACAAAGAATATTTTTATTACAAATAATTGAAGGATGTGAGCCATCTAACTGGTATAGTGGTTAGCATCACTGACTGCCGTGCTGAAATGCCCAGGTTCGAATCCTGGAGAAGGCACGGGTGTTTGTAAGTTGGTGCGGCATAGCAGCATTCTAAATATGTGGTGAGCCAAGTGCAAGGACAAAAATAGCTGCAATTGTTAAAGAAATGTGTATGAAAAATAAATTTTCAGTTATTGATCGCATTACACAGCTGCATTTTACTTCTCTATGAATGGAATCAATAATACTTAGGTGAACAATGTATTCAGTGTGTTGTTTCTTTCTTTAATCCACAGTCCAGAACTTGAGTGTAGTTTACTTTCTGTCCCCACTTTAGAAGAAGATTCCACTGGCTTTAATATAGCGCAACTAATTGCAAAATCGTTTGACTGGTGTTACAGGCATCTTAATAAAAGAAAATTCAAATTTTCAAATTATGAGCTGCATCTGTCACCTCTTAAATTCAGCAGTTGAAAAAGGAGGCAGCTTCTTTGCCAATAAGTGTAAAATATCCAATATAAATTCAGATCTCAAACATCCATATTTCATTTTTCTCTTATATCCTCTTTTTATTAGACTATCAATTAAAATTTACATAATTTCTAGAAAATTGATTAATTCATATATACATTGTACAATTTAATATCTGATTAACCTAAAATTTTGGCATTTCAAATCCCAAACCTGTCTCCAGTGGAATATCCTCATTTTATAACTTTTACTCAGTAATTATAAATATGATAGAACATCAAATAATCTGAGTGCCAGGGTGATTTTATATCTAACATTATGTAATTCGTTACAATTTTTATAGAATTTGATCTAATTTTCAAACATTTAAAAAAATGTTGCCTAGTTTTTATTATTTTCTTAAAAAATAAGAATGATGAAATTTATAAGTAGGAGATATGTATTAGAATTTAAAAATTAATTTAGGGTCAAATCTTAAGGAATCCATGAAAAATTCGAGAGGATATACATCAATGTCAGCTTAATTATATATATATATATGAGTATATTTTTAACACTTTATGTAACTATCTTGATTTGGGAAAAGGAGGTTTTTTTTTTTTTTTTAGTTAGTTAGTTATCTGTGTAATTTATTATTACCATTAAGTAGTGTATAAGATTTTCATAATGATGGAGTTATTGACTGTAAAGACTGTTTTTATATACTTGCATAAACCAATAATTGTTGGAATCCATTTAACTATCTGATGTAATATATTTGTATGAAGAAAACTATTTAAACATGTTTTAGGTTTGTCTGATACTTTACTGATGGCAAAACAGAAAAAGCCCTTAGGAAATTTAACATCTCTAGTCGATGTATTAGTTTTACTATTGGAGATTTTTTATTCTCAGTATGTCCTTCCTGATGAAGAGCAGAAGCAGGTAAGAAAATCTCCTGAAAACAGTTTATAATTGAAATCCTAAATGTTTTGTAAAATTGGAATTAATTGCATATTTATTAAAGAAGAAGGGAGAGGGAAAAATTGTTCCTTAAGGATTTACAACATTGATTTCTTCATAAATTTGATAGTTTAATATCATGATTTAATGTAATCTGTGTTATGTTAAAAGTTTGTGTTCTGAAATGTTAAGTTTTATTTTATGTTGAATAATTCAAATAACAACATAGTTTTTTTTTTTTTTTTTTTTTTTTAAGAAAAAGAAAGTTTTTCCTCATAAAATTAGAAATTAATAAATAGTATTATTCCCTTTGTCCCATAATGACTGTAGCAGCTGATGAATTTAATTTGTCCCATAATAATAGTAGCAAAAGAAAATAATGTAGAATGCAACATTTATTATTGAGAAATTAGATTAAATTAAATAATAAATTTAAAATATTACTCTTAATTTTTATTTTGTGTGTTCAGGTAGTTTCTGGATTTTTCAATAATTTTGTTACTGCATTTTAACCCTTTCGTGGACCATTTATTTCTCTTTGAATTTCTGCCGTTTTTTTATGTTTTATTATCAATTAAACAATAGCATTTAAGGAAATATATTTTATTTTGCCAAATTTTTTGTTTACATTTAAATTCTAGGGGTGGGAAGTATACTTCCCACGGGACCTTTTATGGTCATAGAGAAAATTCAATTTAAAGGCGATTATTTGCCATGAAAAGATGAGAAACATGTTGCAATGCACAAGGGTACTTCAGATACTGCACACATATAGCGGGTCCTCTTTTCTTGGGCCTTTGTGCTACATTTCTTACATCGTCTATAGTTGAAAACCATCTTACTCAGCGTACATCATCCGGAACTGCACACCGTTTTGCTTGGAGCTAGCAGGACTGCTTTTCTTTTTTCGAGGAATATCCGTCTATTAGTTGACGAGCTAATGCTATACAGAATGTTAGCTGGTCTAAACTTCTCTTTCTCTTGTTTCCTTGCCACAGTATAAAACTATTTACGATGCCAAGATCAATAAGAAAATAAAAAATACGATGCCACCATTCTACAGATCTTCTTCCTGTTTGGTACCTTTCTTTTCTTTGATCGAAGCAATCAACCCCTCCCATGACATTGTTATATAAGGCAACAGCTTTAGGGCAAGGTACTTCTGTTTTAGTACCATCATTTTTTGTACGATTTACAGATGTAATAATTGCTGAATTATGTGCAGTAGTCAACAATGTAACAGCCTTTTTGTCCATCCACTTTATTGCAGCAACACCTTCCTTAGTTAGGAACACTGATTTCCCTCTTTGTAGTTTGTTATTAGCCTTCAGTATTGGTGGAAGATCCTTCCTTTGCGGCCTCAAAGTCCCCACAGAAAACAGACCACTTATAAGTAGACATTTTGCAAGCCTAAAAGATATCAAATAGTTATCATAGGCTATGACCTGTCTGTTTCACATCTTCCATTAGTTTAGTTATTACTGTTTCCCCTAAGCTCAAATTTTATCCTTATTATCAGAAGTTTCTTTTCCAGAATAAATTTCAAATTTTTTAATATATCCAGTCTTAGAGTCTGCTAAACACCACACCTTGTAACCTCTTTTTATAGGCTTCATTGGCATATACTGCTTCAATGAAGTTCTCCCTTTGAAAGCTATCATACATTCATCTATTCATAATGTTGACGAAGGTTCATAGACTTTAGGTATGGAATCATTGAGATGTGAGAGGATGCCTGACTTTATAGAGTTTATCATGCCCAAATTGCCCACACGGATTTGTGCTGTTATCATTTACATATAAAGTCTCAGTTATTTTTATGAACCTCTTTGTGATTATTATTCTTGCTACTGATTGAACATTGAGAATAGGGTCTGTGCTCCAGTAGTTTTTCAGTTCATGCAATTGATGCATACCCATGAGTATATGCATACCTACCCATGCTTTCAATTCTTCTGATGTGATTTCTTTCCAGTTCAGGATAATGTCTTTTGTGGTATGACCCAATCTCTTCCTTTTCATAGGTTGCTTTGCATACGAGTTTGTTTCGTCAACAATATTCTGTAAAATTTCATCGGTAAAAATCATGCCAAAATAATCCCTTTTTTTCTCAGTAGAATTGAATGATATTTTCAAATGTATTTTCAAAAATATTGTAATTTTTTCAACATACCTATTGCACGTGGCTTTTATACATGATGCAATAGCATTTTCACATTTCACCCATTATTTATTATTCAATATCAGATAGTTACAGCAGAAATATACAAAATAAGAAAACGTTATTATTATAAAAACAGTGTTTTACTTACATTTGTAGCAGAATTGTAGAGCAATGCAAATGTCAAATCAAAACAGGTGTCTCAGTGGAACAGATCTCGCACAGCATTCGAACTTTCCAAACAAATGTGGTAATTCTGTTTTCAATCGATTGAATACAGATGGCAGCACAATACTGAAGTGGGAATTAGAGTTCCCAACGTTATAATAGCAAAGCCAATATATTATAGTGGGTTTTGCGCTTCCCACAGGTGTATTTCCCAGGAACGTGTAGGTGGGAAGTAACCTTCCCACGGCCCACGAAAGGGTTAAACTTGTAGATAGGATCCCTTCACTGCAAAGCTTTGTTGCCTCATGTACGTGAGCTTGAAATTATTGGAGCTATCATTCTTCATTCCTTCTAGCATAGTTTTTTGAAGTGACAGAAACATGTTATCCAGTATTTCAGAAGTATTATCAAAGGCTGTGTGTACTATTTCTGTGGTGCCTCTTCTGCTAAGAGAAATATGTCAATTTTTCTCCATAATCTTTGCATTTATGTCTATAGTTTTGTTTTCTCAAAGAATCAACATTAGCATAAATTTTATCTTCACAATTAATTTTGGAAGTACATTTCTAGATTCTTGATACGCTGATTCTGTTGCACTTAGTTTTTTCCTCAGTTAATGTAATTGCACCTTTCTGAAACCTTTTGTTTTTCTTTTGTTATGTCAAAAACTTGACCACCACAACTCAATCTTTGCTTGAAAACTCTCTTTTTTTCATCCTCATTTGCCTTTTTAAAATGTAACCCTTTTACAATTGACTGATATTCAACAGAAATAAAACAACTTATTCAATCAGTGGGTGTAATTTAAAAAAATAGTTATAATTCCTGTTTGCTCCTGCGTACCTGTAATGTAATCCACGCATGCGCATCTGTAATGTTGATCGGACGAGTTTGAGAATCCCCATCGATGGTACGAGGGCTGGTCACAGAGTTCATAATGAGTGATTGTAATTAATTATGAGAATTAACAAAGAACCGAACCAGCGAATTTATTATAGTGTGTGTTATTTGGGATGAGACCCAAACAATTCCTAATAGTTAGATTAACTTAAAAATTGAAAGATGTGTCAAAGCAAATGACAGATGTCATGAAACACTGACTTTTGTTCTTTTGGCTTTGCAACTTTGTTCTGCAACATAACCTTACAGCTGCATTCTTGAATAATTTCTATTTAAATATTTACTAGCTACTATTATTCTGAGACAAAGGGAGTATATAATTATTTGCCATAGGTTTTCATAATTGTGCAAATACTAATTATTTAGGCCAGGATTTCTGAGAGAACTCTAAGGTTGTTTGAAAATTTTCTTATTCATGAAATACATCTTCAGCAGAAACTAATATATTACTTTCAGAAATGGTTTACGTCAAAGGTATAAAAATTATTAATTTGGGGAAATATAGATTTTTAGCATTTTATACTATACCTATATTAGAATGATAGGTGAAACATCATGTAGCAAAGTGCAGCATTATTCATATTAACATCAAAATTTATTTATACAAGTTGATTATGCGCACAGGAAAATATTACAGCATTTCCAAAAACAAAACAACAGGAGTCTTTGAACATGTATCTCCTCAAGTCGATGGTGTCAGTGATTCCGATGCCTGTCCCCATGTCTCCCACTCGAGCCATGTCACCTCCTTTGTCTCCTCATTTGCCTTTTTTAAATGTAACCCGATGATTGCTACAGGCTTTTAAATTTATTTTTTTAAAGAAAAATGAATAAAAACAAATTTTAATTTAAAAGAAATTATGCTGCCTTTAAATTTACTAGTCACCTTATAATGAAATTAATATCTTAACTTATATATCTTAGCTTATATATAACTTATATATTGACTTCAATTTCATTCAGACTTTTTAATTTAAATAAGTCTGAATGAAATTGAAGTATGTTCTTTATAAACTGCTAAAATTTTATTACAATTTTATCTTTACAAGAAAGAAAAAACAAACACAGAAGTAAATTAAGAAATAAACAGAATTACTGTAAAGTAATTTTCTAGATACTAAACAGAACTAATTTGTTTTATCTACAACTTATTGGTACTTATATGTCATAAAGGGGATATTTAATAATAATTATATTTGCTGATGGTAAAATTTATTTAAAGAAATTTACAAAGGCAGTAATACTTTAAAAGAATATTTCACACTAGTACACAACTCCTTTAAAAGATGTATTACTCGTTTCATAAAAGAGCATAAGTAAAAAAATTAAGGAAAATTTTATATATAAAATATTGCCTTTATTTAAGACGTGTTTTAAGCTGCTGTGTAGGGATAGAATGCAAATAAAATTAATTAAATTGTTTGTGGTAATGTTCTTGGTAATGCTAAAACTTTTAAAAATATAAAAATATACAGGGCTAAAAATGTGATCAATGCAGCATATGTTCAAAAGGCATGGTGATGGTCTGCATAATTCTTCAGAGATAAGATAGATAATTATGTAACATTAAGTAACTTCAGATATAACTGCATAACATTAAATACTTCAATGATAATGACATAATATTAAGTACATATGACTGTCAGATAAATTTGCTGTAGCCTATCAAACATAATTAATATTAAAAGTAGTATCAGAATGCAGTAAAGTGAACAGCAAGTACTGTTACAAATTGAGAAAGAATGTGACAAAATGTTGGTGCAATTGGTATAGGATGTAAACAATAAAACAAAAATGCATTTATGCCAGATTTCAAATGAAAATTATCATAGGAAGGAAACAGATGTATGTTGTCCGTCAACCAACAGAATTGTAGATGTGATCAAGTAAGCTTAACATATGCTTGCATTTGAATGGTGTCTAACTATATAATTAATGATAGAGGAAGTTGGCATTAGCAAGAACATATGCACAGTATCATTTGCAGAAAATGATGCTGTGTATTTTTTGTAAAGTAAGAAATCTTCCTGTTTCACCCAGTACAGGCTAGCTAATAAGCAGAAAGTCAAATAAATGAGAGCCAACTGGATGAAAACCTCTGCATTTCATTACTATTAGTTGCTAGAATCCATCCCTTTGCAAAGTATATGAACTTAGTCATTTCAGTTTGACTTAGAATCTAGAACAATTAATGGAATGCCCTTCACTTTTTTTTTTTAATCTAAAAAAGGTATTTTCAAAAGTCCGAGATCAAGGCAACGTTGACCTTATTCAACAGTGATGGCACATCCATTATGAGGAATCATTTTTATGAATGTTGCATCATTAGGAAATTTTGATATAATTACAAAGTATGTAACGGGTTCTGTTATGATATGAAACTGTTTAATTTGAATTTATCTCCGTAGTTAAGCAAGATGGCCGCATGGGATTATCATATTTTTTTTCCCCAAGACAAATATGAACTGAATTTCCTGAAAAAATCCTGCACAGAGGTATTTGCTCAAGAGAGCAGATACTCATCATGTAGCATAATTAAACCTTCCTCTGTTTCTTATATACCATGTATTTTTTTTTTTTTTTTTTTTTTTTTTTTTTTTTTACCATTGTAAGAAACATGACAGATCTTCTAAGTAAACTTTTCGTAATATTTTTTGAAGGAAATGAAATTTTGGAAATACAATTTTTTAATTTTTTCCTTGCAGGTGCTTTTACCAAGAAGAGGTCCTGCTTCAAAATTAAAAGGACCGTTGGGTCTTGTTAAGGATTTTATTAATAACATCAAATCTGCTTCTATTATTCGTTTCACTATAGAAAAACTGGCTGAGCCACTTTCTATGTTCTTTTCTGTTGCGGATAAAAAGAAGACCTTTGTTGACAAACAAGTACTTTGTTTTCATATATTCCTTTAGATGAATTGTATTGTTGATTTTGACGTTTTATATTGTAATTTGATATTAAAATGTATTCATTTTAATGCTGTTAATATTACCTTAAGTTGGAAATGTTGTGGGATGTCCTGACTTCTACAATTGAAAGACATTACCTTGGACCATATGATTCTGATTTTCTTGCTACTTTGAGCCCCATACTGGAATTGAATTTATGTCATTCGAAGAGACACATTAAGGAAAAAAGTCGCAAGTTCTGGTTTGCTACCTTTGGGCCAGTAACATCTCTGCAATACCCTGAAGCTTTAAAGTAGGTATCCTTAAATTAAGGATATTGTTATAAGTATACTGTTTGATTATTATTTAGTAGAATTCTATTTATTTATTTTTTAAGTTTGAAAATTTTTTGTTTGAAAGTTTGAAACTTGGAACTATTTGCACTTTATACCTAATCATAGAAAGTCTGTTGATGCTTTAAAAAAAGTTATTCTTGTGCATAGCGTATTCGGAAACTAAGTACCGTTTCATTCTAGCGCCGTCGCAGCGCTGTGGTAGGCGTACTGCACATGCACACTAGTCTTTCTTGTTCACTGACTTTCAATTGTCGCCATTTTGGTTGCTCTATGTTGTGTTTTCAGTTTGCTATGCGCAATCAAAATGCTTAAGACAATTAGTTCTCCCGCTGATTGTGAGATTCGTGCCGTGATTAAATTTTTGAATGCGAGGAATGTTAAACCGGCCGAAATTTATCGTCAAGTGACAGAAGTTTACGGTGAATACGCGATAAGTGATAGAATGGTGAGAAAGTGGGTAAGAATGTCCACGCCGAGGCTCGGAGTGGTCGACCTTCTGTTGTCACCGTTGATTTGGTAAGGAAAGTTGATGAAGCAATTCATGAGAACAGACGCTTCACATGACAACTCTTTCAGAGGCATTTCCATAAATTTCACGTACTCTTTTGTTCGAAATTGTGTCTGACTGCTTGAATTATCGCAAACTGTGTTCCCAATGGGTTCCAAAAATGCTCACTGATGTTCACAAAACAAAGCGACTTGGTAGTTCCCTGACATTTCTTACGCGGTACAGCGATGAGGGAGAAAACTTTTTAAACCAAATTGTGACAGGTGATGAAACTTGGGTGTGTCATTTCACACCAGAATCGAAACAACAATCGATGGAGTGGAGACGCACTCATTCTCCGAAAAAACAAAATGACACGAAAAATCTGACGATGACACGAAAAATGCTGTGGAGTAGTGGTTATCGAAACTGGTGGGAAGTTTCTTTGACGATGGTATACAAAAACTGGTCACCCGCTATGACAAGTGTTTGATCATTGGCGGAAACTATGTTGAAAAATAGTTTAAGACATGTATTTTCATGTAAAAATAAAATTGGATTCAAAAAAAAAATTGTTTTACTTTTTTTTTTCAAAACGGTACTTAGTTTCCGAATACGCCTCGTATAAATAAAGATTAATTTGTAATGTTTGAGTTGTTCTCTTCAGAACTGTATTATAGAATATTAAATGTGGGAACTAGGACTTAAAAGAATTGTTTTTCAAAAAGGTACTTTAAATATGCACAACAAGATGGAAAGAAGGTTATTGAGCTGTTAAAATATATCACTCATGAAAAAAGAAATATTTTCATATATAAGCCATAATTAAACTGCCAGTGCTCACAGTGTTTTGTAGCACGATCTATTTGCGAGAATGATGGCACATTTTGTAGGAAGATTAAACAAGACGGGGGACGAAGGATTCCGCGAAAAAACAAATTAGTTCCAAAAGTCACCGCTAGGGGAATATTTGGCGCTGTGTAATAGAAAATAGAGTGTTAACAAATGCAAATCAATACGGAAATTACCTTTTATTTTGCATTCAAATGAGGTTCAATGTGGCTGCCGTTGTCGTGGACCACATATTGCATTCTGTGCACAGTATGCACAACAGCAGAAAGTAACATGTCTGCAGGAATCTCCCATACAGTCCGTGATATGTTATCCTTCAATGTAGCCAGGTCCTGGACCACTCCTTGGTAGACCTTGGACTTAAGGTAACCTCATAACCAGAAGTCACATGGGGTAAGATCAGGCGACCGAGGTGGCCATGCAGTTGGAAAGTAGCAGCTAATGACTCTCTCTGTAGTGGAGGGGCTCCATCTTGCATGAAAATGATTTACCCCAGGCCATTGTCTTTGCTGAAGTGCCGGAATGACAAAGCTGTTCAACATATGGCGATATTTCTCTCCGGTAACAGAACAGGTTTCCGGTCCTGTCGGGGTAATGTTTTCACAGAAGAATGGACCTACGATAAATTCCGCTGTGAACCCACACCAAACAGTTACCTTTGGTAAATGTAAGGGAATTGCTGTGACTACATGTGGTGGTTTGTCATCACAAATTCGGCAGTTCTGGGTATTCACAGTTCCATTCAGGTAAAAGTGGGCCTCGTCTCCCCATAAGATTTTTCACGGCCAAGCATCATCCACTTCCATTCTGGCAAGAAAGGTGAGAGCAAAAGTCAATCGCTTATCATGGTCGTGGTACAGTAACTCCTGTACATGGCTGATCTTGTACGGATAGAAGTTGATAATCTTTCGTAAGATTTTCCATACGGTACTGTAAGGCATATCCATTTTCCATAAGGCATATCCATAATAAAAGGTAATTTTATTCCGTATTAATTTGCATTTGTTAACGCTGCATTTTCTATTTCACAGCGCCAAATATTCCCCTAGCGGTGACTTTTGGAACTAATTTTTTTTTGTGGAATCCTTCGTCCTTTATCTTGTTTAATCTTCCTACAAAATGTGGCATCATTCTCGCAAATAGATCACGCTACAGAACACTGTGACCACTGTCAGTTTAATTATGGCCACCGGGTATTTATACAGTACAAAGTCTGTAATCCGGACTCGTCGGGATTCGGCAATTCCGGATTAGGGGCTTTTCCAAATTATAGATCATCAATTTAAATCTGGTAAGATGGCATGCAGAAATTGAACAATTAAAAATATGAAACTGTAATTTATGAAATAAAGAGCAATTATGATCTAAAGAGTATCAAATTTTACAAAAAAACTTAATAATATTTATTTGTTTATTAAACATTTCTTTCAATGCGCGCATGCATAAAGTATACATTACGCATAGTCGAAATTAGAAAATTGCAACTAGAAAACTATTTGATGTGTATTTGTGATATTTATAATGACCAGGAAATTGATTTAAATCATATCAAAGGCGGAGTACATCGAGATGAAATACTACATGTAGTAAGGAGTTATAAGCCGAATAAAATAAAAACATCTGCCCTGAAGATGAGGATAGTGCTAACAGATCAACTTCAAGTTAATTGCGCGACACGACGCCTTCCCTTCCCACAGATCAGAGTGAAATTGATAAACAGATTTCGGAATGGTTGGAGAAACAAATCATTTAGCCAAGCTGTTCTGATTATGCAAGTAATATTGTGCTAAGAAGAAAAAAATGCGGTTCATTTAGACTATGTCTGGACTTAAACGACACTTAAAACCTGGTGAATACCTTTCCGAATATTTAATTTCCATGCGTGAAATAGCCAGTCTCGGTTCTGTTAATGATTCATCAATTCTTGATTATGTAATCAATGGGATACTGGATCTGAGTAGTAACAAAATTATTTTGTATGGCTATAAAACTATTTCTGAATTCAAAGAGAAATTAAAAATTTATGAGAAAATCCGCGTTCCAGATACGAAGAATAAGGGTTATTCAAGTACAGTCAAAAGTCTTTAATCCGGACTTGTCGGGACTTCGGCGATTCCGGATTATAGATCATCGATTTAAATCTGGTAAGTTGGCATGTAGAAATTATAAAATTAAAAATATGAAACCGTAATTTATGAAATAAAGAGCAATTATGATGTAAAGGTTATCAAAATTTACAAAACGAAAACTTAATATTTATTTGTTTACTTCCTTAAACATTTCTTTCAATGCGCACATGTGTAAAGCATACATTACGCATAGTTGAAATTAGAAAATTGCAACCAGAAAACTATTTGATGTGTATTCGTGATATTTATAATGACGAGGAATTTGATTTAAATCATATCAAAGAGCGAGTACATCGAGATAAAATACTACATTTAGTAAGGAATTATAAGCCGAATAAAATAAAGCCGCGATGCCCCCCCACCCGCAGAGCAGCGTGAAATTCATAAACAGATTTCATAATGGTTGGAGAAGCAAAGGATATGCCTTTATCCATTTTTTGCAGTAATTCCACTTTTTGTTTGATGGACATCGAAACATGCTTTCGCTTTGTAGATCCTTTGGCGGCTCCAGAACCGGAAACTCTTTTTGACATAATCGAAAGTTCAAGCTTACTTTTTATAAAATTTCTCTAACAGTCTGCAAAAAAATAATAAGCTGAATCCAGTTCGAAGATTAAGGAACAACGCAATCTGCAACATTAACTGAGATAGATAATTAGATTATTTTAGCTTAGCTTATACCGTCCGTTATACATTAAATGCGCATGTGTAAACGTACTATGTGCATGCGTAAAGGTATTATGCAATGCGTAAACGCATGCGCGAAAAGTTTGTAGCTTTGAGGTCCAGACTATAAATCATTCCGGATTATGGACGTCCGGATTAAAGACTTTTGATTGTACTAACACACAAAATAAAGCACGCGCTATACCTAATAAAAGTACAGAACCAAGGTGTTATGACTGTGGAAGTATAAGGGCGCGTAATGTATGCGCATTCTTTACCCGCATGCATATTTTTTAATTTAATTAATTTACAAGTAATGTTTATTAATTGCTTTTTTGGTGTATTATTCATAATAATTTATAATACATTATTATTTTTTTTTAATTTATTTGTATTCTGATTACATTTAAAGCTTTTCTTTGTTTTAAAACCATCGATAAGAAACTTCTTCATGTAAGAGAAAAAAATGTGGAACTCTAAGATTTTTTAATATGCATATTTTTATGATCTCCATATTCTTATTTTTTCCCCTTTTATTTTCTAATATAAATATAGGATTTCCTTAAACAAGGCAAAGCTTCGCCTTTTACCAGACCATAGCCTAGATTCTGTCAACGAATTTAGTGTTGCTAACTTTTCATCAAGAACACAGGTTGGTAATACCAGAATTTACTCTTATTTTAAATTGTGAAATATTGAATTTGTATGATAATTATCATATCAGTGTAATAACTGAATTAAATGCAAAGTAATGAATGTAGCTGTAGTGTAACTCTTTTATTATTAAATTCATTGTTAAACTAAAAAATGAGTAAAATTTCATAAATTGTGTGTATAATGATTTAACATTTGCATTTTTATGCATTTTCTTAAAATTAAACATTATTTCATTAGTGACATTATGAAGTGTAAAGGTGTGTGGCGTTTTATAAAATTATTTCTGCAAATTTTGATTTTTGCCCTCACTTGGCTAAGTATATTTTTAATTGAAAGTTTAGCTGTATGCTTGTTATTTCAGTAGGAAAACATAGAGTTGCTGTTTGTAAGAAATTTATATTAATAATGTAAAAATTGTGTTATGCATTTAAATGAAAATTTTTCCATAGGAGAAATGCAAAATTTAAATTTCTAGAGTACTTTTTATCATTTTACAATGTTTGTAACAGTTGGCTGAAATATACCAGTTTGGTAAAGGCTCAAAATATAAGCACTAAAATAAATGGAGACTTAAAAGATAAGTTTCAATTGCCTTGAAATTTATTACCTCCACTGAACTATTCAGTTGAACACTTGAGGATTTTAAATATTGTTATATGCATATGGCTTCATAATAGATTGAATGTGCACAGAACCAATGATAGTTTGATGAAATTTATTTTCAGAAAAGAAAGAATTTATATTTCTGGAACTTTCATAGAAGTACTCGTACTTCTTTTCTCAAATGACAGAGTATCAATAATAACCTTTTCAAGCTGCTAAGAACATTAAACACAATGGAGTGCAAAGTGCATCTTAAGAGCAAAGCTCACGTAGAGATCTCTCTCGATACTCTGAACTAAGAACTGAGAGTTGATGCTGTCTCCCGTCTTATATAGTTTTCCAACAGTTACTGAGAATTTTCCAGTACTTTCGATTTCCCGAAATTGCTAGAAGGTATATTACAGTTATTGTTACATATAGTGCTGGACAAAGTTACATTTACACATAAAGATTGGGCCACTTACAGTTACGCAGGGATCAGGCCAAAATGTTACCAAATGTCACCTAGTTTGGTGAAATCTCACATGTCTTGAGCCATTTACCTCAATGTTGAATGAACCTGCCCTGTAATATTGTTTTTCTGGTAAAGCCTTTCATGTTGCATTATACAAGAGATAACACAATTTTACATATAATTTCACTAAAATTTTTACATTTAGACAAAATTTGGAACAATATATACTATTAAAAAGTAATGATGTACATAATTAATAGAATGTGATGTAACAGCTGTGCAAGCATGTTCAATTGCATTTCTTTTTTACATGATTGCAGGGATATCCTTTAATATCGAAAGCAAAACACCAACTTACACCTGAATGTTGGTGTTCCCTTAATCAAGAATGTTTCAAGAATTCATCTATTGGTCTGTTGAGGCATTTTCAACTCTAATAGCACAGATTGAAGCATCCAATGCATTCAATGTGAAAAAATCTTTAGTGCAAAGGGTGTTGTTATATATGAGTTTGTGATTATGTATCTTAGATTGCCAATAGGTGGCGGTAGTGTTCATTATATGCGAAAGAAATTGTGAGGTTGTATTTGCATATATGTAGTAGTTCGTCTTTAGTGTTTGTTAGCCATCTCTATTTATCATTATTCTTTTTATCCAATTCTATTTAATAGAGATTTATATATTTTTTTCATGGTAGCTCTTTCCCAGGAATTTAATAAATCAGAAGAAATAATTGATGATTTATATAAACTGTTAATTGAGAAAATTAATAAACTGACAAACATAATTCATCGATTGAAAGGAAGATGACTTCAAATTAAATTCAAAATGAAGTTACAAAGTCAGCAATACCAAGGTAAAACTGTTATATGTTTACGAAGAATGCAGTAATATTTTAAAAAGAATTCAATATACTTCAAAATGAACTATAATAAAGTATGCACATAAAATATGGTTTATTTTAATTTTAAAATGTAATTTATGCACCTAAACAAAAGCAGTGAAGTTACCATGTCTTCAAATCAGAACTTATTACGAAGATATATATAAATGGCTAGACTTTTGGAACTAGTTCAAAAATGTCATTCGCAGTAACAGTGCCCTGAGAAAAACTGAAAAATGTGCATACCTAAAATCCTTACATAGTGGTAATTCTTTAGCTGCCATTTCCAGTTTTACTTTTGAGTGATCAAAATTACGACTCAGCAATAGAAATACTGAAAGGACATTTTGAGAAAGTCATCTTGTTACATATGAATATTGCTCTCTCTTAATTAGAGGGGAACATTTCAGATATTCAAGCGCTGCGTAAATTTGTGATGAAAGCAAAGTCAGCATCTGAAGCTTAGAATCATTAAATATTGTTACAAATTTTGTACATAGATGTAATAGATGTAGACTTTAATGTAATTATATGTGAAATTGTATTTTTCTGTGTAATCTAACTAGAAAAATCGAGACAGAGAAGCTGTGCCAGAAAAGTAAGAATAAAGGGGCAAGTCTGTTTAACATTGAGTTACATGGGTCTCTCAGTAATTTGGTGAGATATCACCAAGCTGGCAACGGTTGTGGCGACTAATTTTTGTCCCAAATTTGCTATTTGGATTTAGTCCCTGTATCATCATAATAGGTTTTGTAACTGAGTAAATGATCAGATTTTGAAGAAAATTTCCCACCACTGCAAGCATTGTCTGCACAAACAGTTCGTGTTGGCTTGTTTAATCATTTGTAAAATGATTTTTGGCATTTAAAAGAAAGAGACTTGCTTTAGATCTCTCTGTTGTGAAATTTGTTGAAAAATATTGTTATCATTAAGTACAAGGTGTTTGAAATGGAACTATCACGCTACCAGGTTAGAACCATCATTTACTTTTAATTAGTTCTATTGCAAAAAGTCAGCTACAGAATGTCACCAAATCATGTATGCAGCTTTAGGTACTAATGTTGTATCATATGACTATGTGAAGGTTTGGTATAGAAAGTTCAAAAACAAGGACTATGACATTCAAGAAGCACAGTGCTCTGGACTGCCTACTGATGTTGATGAGGCCCTCTGGTGAGAAATTGTGAAAGAAGATCAGTATGCAACCACTCAAGAGTTTGCTAAAGAGTCAGACGTTAGTGCCATGTCCATTAGTCACACTATGCATTGCATGAACTTGACATACAAGTTTAATTGCTATTTGCTGCATGAGCTAATTCAGGCATATAAAGGCAGACGTGTTCGGTCCTGCACTAATCTGTTTGAATATAAATGCAAGGACAAACTTCTGGACCAGATTTTCACTTGTGATGAAAAGTGGATTTATTAACAACACAGGTCAGAAAGGGGTTGGTCTGCACAGTGCAGTTTGACTAACAAAAAGATCATACTTTATATCTAGTGGGATTGCCATGGTATTATCCACAAAGAGTATCTGGTAGAAGGCAAAACCCTTGACAGTAAGGTGTACAATGAGATGGTAGTATGTGTTGACACTGCTGTCAAGGAACTGATTTCCAGTTCCTTGACTTGAACTGGAATATGTGAACTTTGAACTGATTTCCAGTCCAAATCGTAATGTTGACAGAAAACTTTCATTATAACCAGATAATTTCTAATAAATTATTTTTTGGCACATAATTGATTAAAGTGAAGTACTGGTTGGGGTGAAATTGTTCCTCGAGAATTTTAAGACAAATGCTATAGGTGGTTATGTTATCTGCCAAATATGTAAATATATCCTTGGTATTTTCATGATGTTAACTCTTCAACAGTTGCCATATTATGCAGTTCTTTCTTTGCAGATATGCGCAATATATGTCATTCATAAATTTTTAATACGAGCTTGTTTGCATCCCCTGTTGTGTGTACTTGGAATGCAAGCTGAGCTCATTCATTCATGAGCATCAAAGGCTTAATGAAATACCTGATGTGTTGAAACTATATTGTTTTTATGATTCATCTTAAATTGTTTATGGAGTTGCTGTGTACATGAAATTCATAGATATAAATGATCCAGAGCAATTTTTGGAATCGCCAAAAGCAGAGTTGCTCTTCTCAAAAATTACCATAACCATAACTAAAACGTGACCGCAGTGTTAGGTGCAGGACTCTTAACTACAGTTGATGTGCATTTTCCTCAAGCAGAAATTTATTTGTGGACTGTTTCTTTCATTGAATAAAAACTCACTACGATGATGGAAAAGTTTTCTACAAAATCATGTATCAAAAAGTCAAGATAAAGCATCACCAAATATGGGGTATTGTTGCCCTGTAGTATTTGATCATGTGGAAAAAATTCGTGCATGGTGTTATGGTAAGAGAGCTTGCAGTAGATTAGATGTCGTGGCATGGACATCCAGGCTACATCAACATGAAATAAAATACCCTAAAATGAATGAACATGTAACATAGTGGATAGTATTGAAGAGAGGGGGAACTAACAACATTCATTCTTTACAAGTGTTAAAAGGTAGAGAACTTTAGTGACTTAAATAAAATATGTAACAGAGTTTTAAAACATGTAACAGAGTAATGCTATGTATTATTGGATTAAGTTATCACAAAGTGAATATTTTTTTGCAGAATTGAATGGTGTTAAATATTAAAAAAAATTATATCTCAAAATTCAAAACAAAAGGATTGTTCATAGTGGTGTAAATAAATTTTTGCAAAAATACAAGAGGAAAATTCTGGTTTTTTAAAAGCTAGCCATTTTATAAAAATCTATGTTATATGATTGTAGATTTTTATAAAATATATAATGCTAGAGTACATAAGATATTAATCAGCTTGTCTTCCTGCTGTCCAAGTGGAGAAAACTCATTCATTCAAAACCCATTGATCATTGTTTATTTAAGCATTCTGCAGATTTTTTGCATGTAGAGGTATTTAAAAGCTATTAACTCTGGCAATGACCTCTAAAATTACAGATCATGAATTAAAGTATTTATAT